AGGAGGACTTCCCAAGGAGCTGGACAGTGTACAACTGAGGTCAGGCAGGAGAACGGAGGGGAGGGGAAGGGGGTGACCAATGGCATGGTCGAAGAGTAGGGTCTTGAGGCAGGACTTGAAGGAGGCTAAGGAGGGGGTGAGGGAGTGACGGGGGGATGGAATTCCAGAGGTTGGGGGCAGAGTGGCCTAAGGCTCTCCCGCCAATGGTGGGGCGGGTGGGTTGGGGGACGTGGAGCAGCCAGAGCCGGCTGAGCGGAGGGAGCGGGTGGGTTGTTAGCGTGTCACAGAGGTAGGGTGGGGCGAGGCCATGGAGGGCTTTGTATGTGAGGACCAGGATTTTGAACTGGATCCTCTGAAGGATAGGGAGCCAATGGAGTCGGGCGAGAGTGGGGGAGATGGGGTCACGGAGTTTGGTGCGGGAGAGGACACGGACTGCAGAGTTCTGGATTATCTGCAGCTGTGGAGGGAGGAGTTGGGAAGGCCGACACGCAGGGTGTTTGCATAGTCGAGCCTGGAGGTGATGAAGGCATGAACGAGAGTTTCAGTGGCCTGAGGGGTGAGGTAGTGGGGGAGTCGGGCGATGTTACGGAGGTGAGGGAAGGCAGAGTGGGTAATGGCTTGGATATGGGGAAGAAAAGACAGTTGAGTCGAACAAGACCCCCAGGTTCCTGACTGGTTGGTGAGTTGTAGTGTGCAACCATGGAGGGTGATGCTGCCAGAGCCTGAGGTGCTGAGGCGCTGGGGTGAGCCAATCAGGAGGCCCTTAGTCTAATCACATTCAACTGTAGGAAGTTTGCATCAGGACTTGATGTCCAACAGGCAGTCTGTCAGGACAGCAGTGGTCCTGGAGTTGAGGGTGGGGGCAGAAAGATAAAGTGGGGTGTCATCCCCATACATATGGAAGTTGACCCCATGTCTGCGGATGATGTCACCGAGGGGGACCATGTAGATATTAAAGAGGAGACAAGAACAGAGCCCTGGGGGACGCCAAACGTGACAGTGCGGGGGCTGGAGGAGAAACTGTTAGAGGCAACAAAGTGGAGATGGTGAGAGAGATAGGAATCAAACCAGGCAAGGGCATGCACACCAGCTCTTGCCCTGTATTGAATATAAAATTGTTTTACAATTAAGTGACCAAATCTAGAATAAATGGGACAGCCTTTACTGGCATTGGGCGCCTCCTGCAGGAATTGTACTGCAATTGCACTGAGGTTTTGATCGCCACCGTGTGATTACATGGTGATACTACAACTGGAACATTAACTTCAAAACAGAATCCCAGTGGAAATGTGAAACTAGCGGCTAATCGAGGTTTCACTTTACAGGCTCTGGGTCCAGGCTGCCACATTTGACAACAAATTCCCAGTAAAAATACTGTAAATCCTGTCAGACATCAAGTTCTGGATTGGAGCTAACTTTCGACAGTTGAAAGTCAACAAGACCGAGGCTCTCCTGATTGGCTCTCATCAGCGCCTCCTCACCTTAGGCGCTGACAGCATCACCATCCATGGTTGTACACTCCATCTTGCTAAGCCAGTCCCGAACCTTACGGTCTTATTTGACCCTCCACTATCCTTTCTACCCCACATTTGCGCCATGACGCACTCTGCCTTCCCCACCTCCCCAACATCGCCAGGCTTCGACACTGTCTCACACCGCAGGCCCCCGAAACCCTCACACACGCCTTCATTACATTGAGGCTCGACTACGCAAACTCACTGCTTGTTGGCCCCCAACTCCTCCCTCCACAGCCTGTAGATCATCTAGAACTCTGCAGCCCATGTCCTCTTCCCCACCAGGCTCCGTGACCCTATCACCCCCATCCTCGCCCGACTCCACTGGCTTCCCATCACACAGAGGATACAGTTCAAGATCCTGGTCCTCACCTTCAAAGCCTTCCATGGTCTGCAATCTCCTAACCCCCTACTATCCCACTCGCTCCCTTCACTCAGCGGGCTTCGGCCTGCTTCACATCCCCCGCCTCGCTCGCCCCACTATTGGAAACACTGATTGTCTAGCGCCTTGGGCCATCCTCCTGACTATACAAATGTAATTTTGTTGTTGTTGTTAAGATGTCTTGATGAAGTGATAAGGTGCTGCATCAAATGCAAGGATTATAATAATTTAATTCTCATCTGAATAAATGACAATAATTGACCTGGTGACATTTAATTTGATTTTAACTTATAAATTACTGCACTTGTTTCCGGCCCCATGGATATTGGTCTGGGTTGTGTCTATGTGCTGTCTCACTGCTGGAGGCCAGTGCAGGTGGGAGTAACACAGAGTGAGGTATCGGGCATGAGTCAGGGTGAGAGGAGAACAATGAGAGTCGAGGCTCCCAGATCTACCTTTCCAGGGCACTCACTGCTGATGACAGCACAGCCTGGGTCATCGGCAGGACTTGGAAAAGCAGAACAGTCACTGGGGACAGGGAGTCATCCCACTCAACTTCTGTTAACCCTGCAGCCAAAGGAGGGTGGTCCTAGCTGGACAAGCCGCAATATCAATGGCAAGCTATGTGGTTTAGCTGGTTAGACTCCAGCAGTTACCCCAATGCACACTCTGGGGTCGCCCAAGCCTTGGGTCTTGCCAACCTGCGCCTAATACTCTCCGGAATTAAGTAAGCAGGATGCAACCCTCCAGGGAGAGAGAGAAAGAGAGAGAGAGAGCAACTCCAGTCCAACTCTGGAATTTCCATGTGTAGGTGGGATAACATTCATCCCATTCTGACCATCCCAGGCTCCTGATCTTCCTGATAATCTTACTATCAACTCTGTTAAAGTGCTGCCCACCTCCCCGATGGCTCAGAGGATAAACCTGCTGAGCAGTGAGTCTCCCTGTATGGCCAGAGGGTTAGAGACTGTAAACCTGGACAGGACTGAGTTACTGATCTCAACAACAACAACAAAATGGCATTTGTAAAGTGCTTTTCAAGCCGGAAGGATGTCCCAAGGCGCTGAACAGTCGGGGATCAGGACCCGAGCGCGGGTAACAGGGGAGCAGGGTTGGGATGAGGAAGGGCAGAGGGGGTAGGAGGGCACCTGGAGGCATGGTAAAAAGAGGGGTCTTGAGTCGTGTCGTGAAGGAGGCAAGAGAGGGAATGAGGGGAAGGGGTTGTGGGATGGAGTTCCAAAGAGTGGGGGCAGAGATTCCCAAAGCCCGGCCGCCGATGGTGGGGCGGGTCGGGCGGGAGACCTGGAGCAGGTCGGAACCTGCTGAGCGGAGGGAGTGGACAGGTTGATAAGGGGTCAGCAGGTCAGAGAGGTAGGAAGGGGCAAGGCTGGGGAGGGCCTTGAAAGTGAGGACGAGGATTTTGAATTCTATCCTCTGAGGGATGGGGAGCCAGTGGTGCCAGGCAAGGGGTGGGGGTGATGGGGTCACACAGCCTGGTGTGGGAGAGGACACGAGCTGCCGAGTTCTGGATGATCTGCAGCTTGTGGAGTGAAGAGTTGGGGAGGCCGACAAGGAGGGAGTTGGCATAGTCGCAGCTAAATGTGATGAATGCGTGTATGAGGGTTTCACCCCTGGAGCCTCTGATCACCCCCTACGAGGATCTTTAACTGAAACTCACTGTGTCATGATGTGCTGTGGATGTTTGTGTTAATGTGCACATCAGCCGTTGGGCGTGTGTGTAAACCCTGTGTTGTTTCCTGTGCTCACTATCATTCAACAGAGACATTTGTTTTTTTCTAAAGGAGTCTCAGCCCCGCCTGCCCTGACAGCACCTGGACAGACTGGCTGGACCTGTTATTATCAGAAATGAAGCCTCTTGTTCTGCTCCAGGGTGTCGCTGGAGATAGAGCGCATTCCATTCCATCAATCTGTCTCTGCAATTTCCATGTGTAGGTGGGAGGCATGGAATTCTCAGCTTGGTTTGGAGATTCTTAAGCAACAGCGACGGGTTTCTGTGTGTGTCAGACACCCGGCTGATCATGATGACGGATTTCCACGTATGTCAAATGTATGGTTGCCAAAGAACAGAGAAACACTGGCTCCTGCCCTCTGCCGGGGACTGAGGCTAGTTGTAGCCACAACTGAGATGAGGAAGGATCCCACGCTATTGGAAAAGAGAAGGGAGTTTTTCATTGTGTCTTGGCCGACAATCCATGATTGATTGATCTGTCACCTCATGGCAGTTTGTGGGACCTGCTCGGCCCGAGCATCTTACAACAACAACAAGAACTTGCATTCATATAGCGCCCTTCAGCATGTGGTCTCGGAGCGCTGAAAATAGTTATTACACTTGCTAGCGATTACATATGAAACACTTTTTAACAATTTGACGTGTCAGCAAAAACATGTGCTTATCCACATCAAGTTTGAGTGTGCACCTGGGGCTGCAAGGTGACAAGGACAATATGAGTCAGTGCAGGCTCAGGCCAGTGAGTGTGAGAAACATCTCTACTTTATAATCATTGCAAAGATTCTTTCTATATTATTAGGGGAATCGCAGAACTTGGTCCCTGTTGGATGTGTTGCAATCTCAGGAGCTTCTTCTATTGGAGTCCTTTTGCTCAGTGGTTAGAGCACTCGCTTTGCAAGTGAGAGACCTGAGTTCAATTCCAGGCAGAGGGCGAAACCTTGGGCAAGTTTCCTTACTCCACACAGAGCCTAATAATAATCCCTTCAAAACCAAAAACAATAATAAATTGGTCATTTTCAATCCACGACTGTTTGTGGGACATTGCTGTGCGCAATTGGCTGCCGCGTTCGCCCACAAATATACAGTCAATTCACTTTACAGTGTGTTCTGTGAAGCGCTTTGGGACGTCCTCTCCCGACGTGAAAAGCGCTATATCAAATGCAAGGATTATTATTATTATTATTGCGCCTGACATTTCCTTCATTATTGTGACTTTATCCCCAAGTGTTGACCTGCCAATGACATCACTACCCAAGGGTGGGGCAGTGATGGGATAAGATCAGAACAGCTCAGCCTGGGTTTAAAGAGAAACAACAGCAGTGATTTGATGGGTGGAGTGGTTTCTGTGTTGCAATCTTTACATTGTGGAGCCTGACTGTGTCTCAGCCACTGATTTATATAATGCAGTAAAACTGCTGGAGCTCAGTGGTGCCTCTCTGCTCTGTCGAGGCAAAAGGGGGTTTAGTATCAAGTGATTTCATTTCTCTCCTTGCAATCAGAGGGGCAGCGCGGTGTCAGGATGACTGGTGATAACTGGCCCAGGTCTCCATTGTGTGTGTGTGTGTGAGAGAGAGAGAGAGAGACGGTCAGAGGCACTCCCCGGCCCTCGGGGTTGGGGACGGGAATGTTTAGGAACCTGTTTGCCTGGCTCTGTGGTTCCCTGATTGGCTGCTGTTTTGTGTAGAGAACTGGCAGGTCGGGTTCAGCCCGAATTCCTCACATTCTCCCACCACAAATTGTGAGACACACAGCACCTCAGTACCAAACTCACAAACTCGGACACTCGGACACCATGGAGACCATGGCTCTCTCTCTCCACATCACCTTGCTGCTTCTTTCTCTCGCCGGAGCTCAGGGTAAGTAAAAAATTCACAGACAAAACCACTACTACTACTACTACTAATAATAATAATGCTTGCATCAGCGAGGTGTCTACAGAACACACAGAATATATTGTAAAGCGAATTGACTGTATATTTTGTGGGTGAAATGCAGCAGCCAATTGCACACAGCAGCGTCCCACAAACAGTTGTGGATTGAGTGACCAATTTTGTTTGGGAGGATTGTTGGCCAGAACACCGAGAGAGAAAAACTCTCTTCTCTTTTCAAATATCGCCATGGATCTTTAACATTCACCTGGACAGGCAGACAGGGCCTCGGTTTAATGTCTCATCCAAAGGACGAAACCTCTGACAATGCCCCCCCTCCCTGCCCAGCACTGCATTGCAGCGTCACCTTAGACAATGTGATCCCAAGTTCCCAATAAGGGCTTAAACCCACAATCTTCTGGCTCAGAGCCACGAGTGCTACCACAGAGCCAGGTTAATGTGTATTTTCTCTCTGTGTCTCCCCATTGTGTCTAAGTCAGTGTCTCCCATTCCACACTCTGCCCCCCCCTCGCCCGCTCATTCACTAATATGGGTTCTCACCCCCATCACTATCCAGAGACCCCCCCCCCACTGCAACCATTCTAGTAATGGTGTGAGTGAGGACAATCCAGGCTGACAGTCACCAGTTAGGATTCCTGTAGATCAGCAGTTAGACACTCGCCTCGCAAGTGAGAGACCAGGGTCCGATTCCCAGGCAGGTGAAACCTTGGGCAAGTTTCCTTACTCCACACTCACGCCTCTGTTTATCAGCAGGAAGTAGGAACCTGGTTGTTGGTCGATTGATGGTTTGCTTTTCTGGAGATAATAATCCCTTATTGGTCACTTCAATTTGTGGGACGCTGCTGTGCGAGATTGGCTGCTGTGTTTCGCCCACAAAATACACAGTCAATTTACTTTACAGTGTATCCTGTGAAGCGCTTTGAGACGTCTCGAAGACGTGATAAGGCGCTGTATCAAACGCGAGGATTATTAGAGGAGGGCCAGAGGGAGCCAGTATGACTCCGCGATCAGCCCCAGAAACGGGCAGTGTTGCGGGTGGGGGAGGGGAGGAGAGGGGAGGAGGGGATGGCTGAGACAGGCTGTGTAATTTTATCCAGTATTTTTTCTAAACAGGTTTTAACATTTCGCTGGTGAACGATAAAGAGCTGGTCACCAACACCTTCTCCAGGTCCGTCATCGTGGGGCTCCCGCCCTGCAGGTTCATCTCCAAGTCAGTTCACATCAATGTCACTACAGGTGACAACCCAGGTAAAGGGATTCGATAGGGAGACTTCGCAGAAACTATTCCCTCTGGTGTGGAATCCAGAACAAGGGGCATCATCTTAACATTAGAGCTAAGCCACTTAGGAGTGAAATCAGAGGCGGTTTTTCACACACACACAAAGGCCAGTGGGAATCTCTCTCCCCACAGAAGGCTGTGGTTTATGGCTGATCCATTCACACTGTCCAGACTGAGGTGGAGAGATGTTGATCAGGTCAGCGGATCAAGGGATATGGGGCAAAGGCAGGTAATTGGAGTTGAGGTACAGGTCAACCATGATCTTACAGAATGTTGGAACAGGCTTGAAGGGCTGAATGACCTCTTCCTGAGGATTTCAAGATCCTCATCCTCACCTACAAGGCCATTCACGGCCTTGCTCCCTCCTACCTCTCCAACCTACTATCCCCCTACTTACCTGCCCGTACCCTCCGTTCCTCCGGCTCCGGTCTGCTCCACGTCCCCCGCCCCAATCGCCCTACCATCGGTGGCCGGGCCTTCAGCCTCTCAGCCCCGAGGCTCTGGAACTCTATCCCCTGTGCCTTCGCCGCTTCCTTCCTCTCCTCCTTCAAGGCCGGTCTCAAAACCTTTCTCTTTGACCGTGCCTTCAGCTCCCCTCTCGACTCTCTTCCCCCTTCTCGCTCCCTCCCATCCCTCCCCTCACCCTGACCATCTCCCCCCTCCTCGCTCCTCCCTTCCCTCCCCTCACCCTGACCATTTCCCCCCTCCTCGCTCCCTCCCTTCCCTCCCCTCACCCTGACCATTTCCCCCCTCCTCGCTCCCTCCCTTCCCTCCCCTCACCCTGACCATTTCCCCCCTCCTCGCTCCCTCCCTTCCCTCCCCTCACCCTGACCATTTCCCCCCTGCTCGGGTCATGACCCAACTGTGCAGCGCCTTGGGACGTCCTCCTGACGTGAAAGGCGCTTTATAAATGGAATCTTGTTGTTGTTGTTCCTGCTTCTATGCTTCTATCTGTCTATCCCCACCTCCCCGACTGTCGTTTATCCCCGCTCTCTCTCTCTCTCTCTCACAGGTCCGTTACAGGAGAATTTCACTATGATAGCTTGTCGCTTTCCACGTGATTTGATCAGCATTGTCTCCTCCCAGGGTGGCAGCCAGCAAACCAACCACGTGGGGGTCAGACTGACTGACCTGAATCCTGGCACCGATTACAAGTATGTAACATGTGTGTGTCTGGATCAGACATGAAACATAGGAGAACACGCCTCGCTGTGTGCACACGCATAGACTGGCTCAGGGTGGGGATAGCTCCATTGAGGCTCAATGACTGCACCGGACAGACCCCCATCCCACGATGTGGGCTGGTCCCCCATATTGGTGTTGCAGCCATCGCCCCCATCAGGCAGAACCTGGTATTGCAGACTTCACCTCTCCAATTCTGTCCTGTTGACTCCACTTCTTTTCCTCTGTCTACAGTGTTCAATTCACCATCGACACCGAATCCAGTAACAAGCTGCCTTTCCGATCACTGAATCGTGAGTATTAATCACTGTTCAGTCAGCAGCCCGAGCTGGTGTGTGAGTGTGAGTTGGTGTGTGAGGGCAAGCATTTGAGCCCATATGCCAAGGCGAGCTGGTGTGCAATAGCAAGTAGTGTGAGCCTGTGTGCAAGGATCAAGTGGTTTGAGCTTGTGTGCGAGGGCAAGTGATGCGTGAGGGTGACTGGTATGAGCTAGTGTGCAAGGGTGAGCAGTGTGCAAAGGCAAGCTGGTGTGCAAGAGCAAGTGAAGTGAGCTGGTGTGCGACTGAGTGGTGTGCAAGGGTGAGCGGTGTGCGAGGGTGAGCGGTGTGCAAGGGCGAGCGGTGTGCGAGGGTGAGCGGTGTGCGAGGGTGAGAGGAGGGTGAGCGGTGTGCGAGGGAGAGGGGTGTGAGCTGGTGTGCGAGAGCGAATGGTGTGACTGTAGTGATAGTAATTGTTCCTGGGGGTTTCCAGCCCAGGATTACCGGAATATTGATGTGAACTTCAGGCGGACGGGAGCAATGGTGGTGATCACAGTGCTGCTGGTGGTCGCGATGGCGCTGCTGATCGTATTCCTGATCATCGCTCTGGTGATCAAAAAGTGAACACACCCAACGTTAGGATCTGTTCATTCCTGAAGCTGTTTGTGAAAAGGACATTCTGAACTTTCTGACTAACACGGTGTAACTCTGGCTCGGGGAATATCTGATCAATTGGAGTTGATTTGGGGGGAGTTTTATATGATGTGATTTTAATTCTTTTCACCCCTTCGATGTAGACACTGACAGTAACCTGATCAATAAAGGTGTAAGTGAATGGGGAGAGAAAGCGTCCCAGGGGATTGAGATGACGGTTTAAGAAGCCTGATCATAAACATTCATGTTCTTCTTATTTTATAATAAAAGTGTAATTATAACAGAGTCTTGTGCTGTCAGCCTGTGTTTGTTCAGGTAACTCTGTACACAGGTGTGTGAAGTTCAGCTGTCACCTGATGTAGCCACACAGACAGGAGGTTGTGAGTTCAATCCCAGGTCTTTGACCCCCATAACTGGCCGATCCCACAAATCATATTGGAAAATAATAATAATATTTGCATTTGATACAGCGCCTTCTTCAAGACGTCTTAAAGCGCTTCATAGAGTACACTATAGTGATTGTGTATTTTTATGGGCAAAACGAGGCAGCCAATTGCGCACAGTAGAGTTCCACAAACAGTCGTGGATTCAGTGACCAAATTTTTTTTTCTCTCCAAAGAATGAGCTGTTTCCAGGGATCAGATTTATTACAATCTGCTGTGTCCACAACCAGAGAGACCTGTAAAGGCCGCACTTGCCCCCACACAACAGGGGGCGCCTTCCTGTGTGGCCACCAGGTGGCGACCAGCACACGTGTCCAGAGGCTCACGTGTTAAAACCACGTGTGAGTGTGTGTTAGTGACTGAGTGTGAGTGTGTCAGTGACTAAGTGTATCAGTGACCGAGTGAGTGTGTGTTAGTGATTGAGTGAGTGTGTCAGTAACTGAGTGAGTGTGTTAGTGATTGAGTGAGTGTGTGTTAATGACTGACTGAGTGTGTCAGTGTGTTAGTGACTGAGTGTAACAGTGACTGAATGAGTGTATCAGTGACTGAGTAAGTGTGTGTTAGTGACTGAGTGAGTGTGTCAGAGACTGAGTGTGTATCAGTGACTTAACGAGTGTATCAGTGACTGAGTGTGTCAGTGACTGAGTGTGTCAGTGACTGAGTGAGTGTGTGTTAGTGACTGAGTGAATGTATCAGTGACTGAGTGAGTGTGTATTAGCTACTGAGTGAGTGTGCGTTAGTGACTTGACCGCCTTCCATCACCTCCGGAACATCGCCAGAGACTACGGCACTACCTCACCCCTCACGCGGCTGAAACTCTGGTCCACACCTTTATCACCTCAAGGCTGGACTATGGGAACTCTCTCCTCGTCGGCCTTCCCGGCCCTCCCTCCACACTGCAGGTCATTCAGAACTCTGCAGCTCGTGTACTGTCCCGCACCAGACACCGCGACCACATCACTCCCACCCTCGCCCTCACCCTCACCCTCACACTCACTCCCACCCTCACCCTCGCCCTCACCCTCACCCTCACTCCCACCCTCGCCCTCACCCTCACCCTTACTCCCACCCTCACCCTCGCCCTCACCCTCACCCTCGCCCTCACCCTCGCCCTCACCCTCACCCTCGCCCTCACCCTCGCCCTCACCCTCACCCTCACCCTCACTCCCACCCTCACCCTTACTCCCACCCTCACCCTCGCCCTCACCCTCACCCTCGCCCTCACCCTCGCCCTCACCCTCACCCTCACCCTCACCCTCACCCTCGCCCTCGCCCTCACTCCCACCCTCACCCTCGCCCTCACCCTCGCCCTCGCCCTCGCCCTCACTCCCACCCTCACCATCACTCCCACCCTCACCCTCGCTCTCACTCCCGCCCTCACCCTCACCCTCGCTCTCACCCTCGCCCTCACCCTCACTCCCACCCTCACACTCGCCCTCACTCCCACCCTCGCCCTCACCCTCGCCGTCACCCTCGCCCTCGCCCTCACTCCGACCCTCACCCTCGCCCTCAACCTCGCCCTCACCCTCGCCCTCGCCCTCACCCTCGCCCTCACTCTCACCCTCACTCCCACCCTCGCCCTCACCCTCGCCCTCGCCCTCGCTCCCCTCCACTGGCTCCCCATCCCCCAGAGGATCGAATTCAAGATCCTCATCCTCACCTACAAGGCCATTCACGGCCTCGCTCCCTCCTACCTCTCCGACCTACTATCCCCCTACCTACCTGCCCGTACCCTCCGTTCCTCTGGCTCCGGTCTGCTCCACATCCCCCGCCCCAACCGCCCGACCATCGGTGGCCTTCAGCCTCTCAGCCCCGAGGCTCTGGAACTCCATCCCCAGTGTCTTCGCCGCTTCCTCCCTTTCCTCCTTCAAGGCCGGTCTCAAAACCTTTCTCTTTGACCTTCAGCCTTCAGCTCCCCTCTCGACTCTCTACCCCCTCCTCGCTCCCCCCCTTCCCTCCCCTCACCCTGACCATTTCCCCCCTCCTCGCTCCCTCCCTCCCTCCCCTCACCCTGACCATTTCCCCCCCTCCTCACTCTCTCTCTTCCCTCCCCTCACCCTGACCATTTCCCCCCTCCTCGCTCCCTCCCTTCCCTCCCCTCACCCTGACCATTTCCCCAATGCTCGGGTCCTGACCCAACTGTTCAGCGCTTTGGGACGTCCTCCCGACGTGAAAGGCGCTTTATAAATGGAATCTTGTTGTTGTTGTTGTTGAGTGAGTCTATCAGTGACTCAGTGAGTGTGTGGTAGTGACTGAGTGAATGTATCAGTGACTGAGTGAGTGTGTATTAGTGACTGAGTGAGTGTGTATTAGTGACTGAGTGAGTGTGTGTTAGTAACTGAGTGAGTGTATCAGTGACTGAGTAAGTGTGTTAGTGGCTGAGTGAGTGTGTCAGAGACTGAGTGTGTGAATCAATGACTGAGTGTGTGTCTCAGTGACTTAGCGAGTGTATCAGTGACTGAGTGTTTCAGTGACTGAGTGAGTGTGTTAGTGACTGAGTGTGTGTGTGTCAGTGACTGAGTGAAAGTGTGTTAGTGACTGAGTGAGTGTTTCAGTGACTAAATGAGTGTGACAGTGACTGAGTGAGTGTGTGTTAGTGACTGAGTGTGTGTATCAGTGACTGAGTGTGTGTTAGTGACTGAGTGAGTGAGTGTGTGTTAGTGACTGAGTGAGTGTGTTAGTGACTGAGTGAGTGTGTGTTAGTGACTGAGTAAATGTGTGTCAGTGACTGAGTGAGTGTGTGTTAGTGACCGAGTGAGTGAGTCAGTGACTGAGTGTATCAGTGACTGAGTGTATCAGTGACTGAGTGAGTGTGTCAGTGACTGAGTGAGTGTGTGTTAAGTGACTGAGTGTGTGTGTCAGTGACTGATTGAGAGTGTGTTAGTGATTGAGTGAGTGTTTCAGTGACTGAATGAGTGTGACAGTGACTGAGTGAGTGTGTGTTAGTGACTGAGTGTGTGTATCAGTGACTGAGTGTATGTTAGTGACTGAGTGAGTGTGTTAGTGACTGAGTGAGTGTGTGTTAGTGACTGAGTGAGTGTGTGTCAGTGACTGAGTGAGTTTGTGTTAATGACTGAGTGAGTGTATCAGTGACTGAGTAAGTGTGTGTTAGTGACTGAGTGTATCAGTGACTGAGTGTGTAGTGACTGAGTGTATCAGTGACTGAGTGTATCAGTGACTGAGTGAGTGTGTCAGTGACTGAGTGAGTGTGTCAGTGACTGAGTGTATCAGTGATTGAGTGAGTGTGTGTCAGTGACTGAGTGTATCAGTGACTGAGTGAGTGTGTGTTAAGTGACTGAGTGTGTGTCAGTGACTGATTGAGAGTGTGTTAGTGACTGAGTGAGTGTTTCAGTGACTGAATGTGTGTGACAGTGACTGAGTGAGTGTGTGTTAGTGACTGAGTGTGTGTATCAGTGACTGAGTGTATGTTAGTGACTGAGTGAGTGTGTTTTAGTGACTGAGTGAGTGTGTTAGTGACTGAGTGAGTGTGTGTTAGTGACTGAGTGAGTGTGTGTCAGTGACTGAGTGAGTTTGTGTTAATGACTGAGTGAGTGTATCAGTGACTGAGTGAGTGTGTGTTAGTGACTGAGTGAGTGTATCAGTGACTGAGTAAGTGTGTGTTAGTGACTGAGTGTATCAGTGACTGAGTGTATCAGTGACTGAGTGAGTGTGTCAGTGACTGAGTGAGTGTGTGTTAGTGACTGAGTGAGTGTGTTAGTGACTGAGTGAGTGTGTGTTAGTGACTGAGTGAGTGTGTGTCAGTGACTGAGTGAGTTTGTGTTAATGACTGAGTGAGTGTATCAGTGACTGAGTGAGTGTGTGTTAGTGACTGAGTGAGTGTATCAGTGACTGAGTAAGTGTGTGTTAGTGACTGAGTGTATCAGTGACTGAGTGTATCAGTGACTGAGTGAGTGTGTCAGTGACTGAGTGAGTGTGTCAGTGACTGAGTGTATCAGTGATTGAGTGAGTGTGTGTCAGTGACTGAGTGTATCAGTGACTGAGTGAGTGTGTGTTAAGTGACTGAGTGTGTGTCAGTGACTGATTGAGAGTGTGTTAGTGACTGAGTGAGTGTTTCAGTGACTGAATGTGTGTGACAGTGACTGAGTGAGTGTGTGTTAGTGACTGAGTGTGTGTATCAGTGACTGAGTGTATGTTAGTGACTGAGTGAGTGTGTTTTAGTGACTGAGTGAGTGTGTGTTAGTGACTGAGTGAGTGTATCAGTGACTGAGTAAGTGTGTGTTAGTGACTGAGTGTATCAGTGACTGAGTGTATCAGTGACTGAGTGAGTGTGTCAGTGACTGAGTGAGTGTGTCAGTGACTGAGTGTATCAGTGATTGAGTGAGTGTGTGTTAGTGACTGAGTGAGTGTGTCAGTGACTGAGTGTATCAGTGACTGAGTGAGTGTGTGTGTCAGTGACTGATTGAGAGTGTGTTAGTGACTGAGTGAGTGTTTCAGTGACTGAATGAGTGTGACAGTGACTGAGTGAGTGTGTGTTAGTGACTGAGTGTGTGTATCAGTGACTGAGTGTGTGTTAGTGACTGAGTGAGTGTGTGTTAGTGACTGAGTGAGTGTATTAGTGACTGAGTGAGTGTGTATTAGTGACTGAGTGAGTGTGTATTAGTGACTGAGTGAGTGTGTCAGTGACTGAGTGTATCAGTGACTGAGTGAGTGTGTCAGTGACTGAGTGTATCAGTGATTGAGTGAGTGTGTGTCAGTGACTGAGTGTATCACTGACTGAGTGAGTGTGTGTTAAGTGACTGAGTGTGTGTCAGTGACTGATTGAGAGTGTGTTAGTGACTGAGTGAGTGTTTCAGTGACTGAATGTGTGTGACAGTGACTGAGT